TGCTACTACTACTGCTACTACTACTGCTACTACAACTAGTACTACTACTACTACTACTACTACTACTACTATTACTATAATTACTAGTGCTAGTACTAGTACTAGTCCTACTACTACTACTACTACCACTACTACTACTACTACTACTACTACTACTACTACTACTACTACTACTACTACTACTACTACTACTACCAGTACTACTACCACTACTACTACTACTACTACTACTACTACTACTGCTACTACTACTACTACTACCACTACCACTACCACTACCACTACCACTACCACTACCACTACCACTACCACTACCACGTCAACTACCACAACCATTACCACAATCATTTCCACCACCATTACCAATACCAGTACTACAACGCGCGAGCACACCGAGATCAGACATTCCCCGCTATGTTTTTTCGGAAACCGAATGGTCACACGTAAGCCAACTATGGGCCCCTCCCGTCGACCCAGTCGGTCGTGGTGACCCGGGTACCAGGCACTGGCGAGGCCCAGGCAGGAAGCCTCTGTGCTACCGAATTGTCCAGCACCACCCTCAAGGCCAGAGTGGTTTCATTTGGACTCGAGTTCCCCCAGCCGCCGCCTAGGCGCCGCAGCAGCCCAGCGGCCCCCGGCGGAGGGAGAAGGAGGATGAAGGGGGGTGGTGGGGAGGGGGAAAGAAGAATAACAAGAGGAGGAGGAGGAAGGGCAGGAGGAGGCCTAGGAGGAGGAGGATTAGGATGAGGATGATGACTATGATGATGATGATGATGATGATGATGATGATGATGATGATGATGATGATGATGATGATGATGATGATGATGATGAGGAGGAGGAGGAGGAGGAGGAGGAGGAGGAGGATGATGATGATGCTCCTGCTGCTGATGATGATGATGATGATGATGATGATGATGCTGATGCTGCTGCTGCTGATGATGATGATGACTTTGGGCGAATTTCTTGGTCGTCCTGGGGCGATCCGTGAGGTCTCTTGAGCCGCCGTGGGCACGGTGCAGACCAGAAAGGCGAGCATGTTGAACATGTACGTTTCGCTAAGGGAATGAGTCAATTTGTCCGTCGGGGGGGCCCCCTTGGGGGTCTCTTGAGACGTCTTGAGGCCGCCTTGGGCCGGCTTGAAGCCACCTGGGGCCCTCTTTGAGCGCTCATGGGCCGTTCTGGGGCGGCTTTGGGCCGTTTCGGGGCTCCCCGGGACCGTCCTGGAAGCGATCCTGGGCCCGCTCGGGCGGCGTAAGATGGCCCGGAGGGCTGCCGAAATCGAGAATTCGTATTTCACGTTGGTGGGAGCGCCCAGGACCGAATTGATGTACGGTGGGGTTTTCCTTGTACGAATATTCGAGAAGGAATAGGTGTTTAGGTATGTATGTTTGTGCATATATACGCATACATATAGCAAACGTATGTATACGCATCTACGCAAAACATATATAGGTTTATATGTTTCCATCTGTAGAAATACATGTAATTCTGTCTACAGATACAACAGCGCATACATGAGTATATGTGTATATGTGTATTTGCGTGTATACATGTGTATGTACACATGTATCTGCGTATGTGCAGGTATATGTATATGTAGATTAATGCCACTATATATATATATGTGTGTGTACGCACCTGTACATGCACAGACACATGCACATGCATTTGCACATGCATATGTAAATGCATATGTATACGCTTATGATTATGTAAATGTATTTGTATATGTATATGAATTTGCATATGTATGCATTTATGAATAGACTTGTGTCGTTATGCATGTGTATATGAACAGGTTTGCCGACACGCTTATGTATATGCAGAGGCATCGCCATATGTATATGTATATGGCAATGCACCTGTATAGGGATATGCACAGGTGTATGTATACGTGTGTGTAGATGGTTATGTAGATGTGTAATGATATGTACAGGTATAGGTATATGTACAGGTATGCGTATAGGCATATGTTTGTGCATATGTATGTGTATATGTATTTATATATACGTGCTACTCTGCCACACTGGAGCCACATTGAGGCACAGGAGGAGGAGGCGGAGGAGGAGGAGAAGGACGAGGAGGAGAAGGAGGAGGAGGAACAGAAGGGAGGGATGAGGGTATTGCTCTCGTTTGTTGTTCTCCCTCTCTGTATATTCAAATATTGGTGTGTATATGTACAAACATAGCCATACGAATGTGTATCGCGCGCGTTGTTCCCGTTCCTTCGCCGATGCCACCTCCCTGCCGTCTTTCGCCCGACCTTTTCGCTTTTTTTGCTTCACCAGGTCATACGCGAGCTGATCGACTCCATGCGGGAGGTGCATGTCCTCCTCTTCCTCGTCCTCCTGCCCCCTCTTTGTTTTATTGTTTCTACTTCAAGACGCTTCGCTTTCACTGCCCGCCCTTTCCAGTTCTCGCCGGGTGTGTCCAAGATGGCTGAACATAATACTCAGACGGCCCTAGATTTTCTGGACGCGGCCCAAGGGTCCATGCA